CTCGAAGGCAGCTTTTAGTATTGCATTATTCCTTTCGATCGAGAAGACGACACACGCGACGAAGAGGGTACAGCCGGAATATCTTCTATAATTTTATATTGAGAGAGAGAAGGGGAATTGTGTATATTACGTTCTCCTTAATTCTGCGTATCGATTTTTCCTTATTGATAATCAAGGTCGACACGACGAGCGTTGCATTATATTCCAACCGTGAAATGAGAGTGAAAATTTCACGTTATCAATTCGACGTGAATTGATAAATTGATTCGGTAATTTTTTTCGAACAGATTATACGAAAAACTGTATACAAGGGGAAAAAAATAGTTACATAAGTTTAGGATCAAATTTTCTCCTGCGAAAATTTCATGTTCATATATAAAAAAAAATGTGCTACATATCTCGTAACAATTTACGTAAGAAAATTTCATTTAGATTCTTTCCATTTTTTCTGGATTCTATTGAACCAAGTTGCGTAACTTGCAAATGTATACAGCAAAGATGTAAAGTTGTTTGAAATTTTCAAAAAGAGAATCGAGGAAAGTTCCCACTCACTCTTGGTCATCATGTTTAGTGGCATAACGAAGACAACGTATTTAAAATGCAAATGAAAAATGCTCTTGGCTAATTTTAAAATCTTAACGAAGCGAATTAATTGTCATCGGGCTAACATAAACTGGCATAATTAAGAAGATTACAAGGATCGTTTTCAATCGTGCCTTTGAAACTGGGAGTTTTTGCAGATTTTTTCTGTCATTCGCGAGAATAAAACGCGCGCAATTATTATTATTATTATTATTCCTATATATCGATCGGTCATTTCATGTGTAACAAATCTACGATAACAATTTCTTAACAATGTTGGATGTAAGCAAACGTTGAATAACAACACGCGACGATATCGAGTTAATTATTACTGAAAAATACGAGAAAAAGAGGAAAACGAGCTGGTAGATATGTTTGCAAAATTTTAAATTTTACATACAAATGCATATAGCGTATGTCAGACTGGTTTGTAATTTCCACGAAACGACTGACACATCAATTTTACGCGCTTCTTCGACGAGTTGTGTGCATCAACGAGAAATGTCAAAAAGAGAGACACTCGGTTTCGACATTATAATAGCGCGGGCGAATTTAATACACGCTCGAATAATGATTTTTCTATCCCCCGACGCTATCGGAATGCGTTCCCGATATCACTCTCAGATATCTTATATCTGCGACCTTGATGACTCGAGAGTCGAGTGTGAAAATCATTCCGATCCAGATCAGTAGCGAGTAAAAAGTCGCGCGCGAGAGAGACTCCCTCCTTGTTGTACGACAAAAAGAAGAGACCGGAAAAATGTTCTCCGAATACGCGCCTTTCGTGACGAAATATTTTTATCACCTGTTAGTCGGCGTCATTTCTCTCATTCTGTTTAGCAAAATTTTCGGGAGACCACAGAAGAGGCCCCTCGCTCCAGCATCCGACGAATCTACGGATCCGAGTGAAAGTAATCTGTCACTGTGTATATATAACTGTTGTCGAGCGGAACAGAGTCGTATTTGTCTCATTTTAGAAAATGAAAGTGGAAGATAAAAGTGCTTCGCTCGATGCCTCGTGCTTAAAATTCTAAAAACAATTTTTTACTATACTAAGCAATCAAGAAAATAATAGAAAGTAAGGATAATGAAATTAATAATAAAAAAATTGATGAGTGTCCTTACTTAATACAAGCGTGAATGCCATGGAATTCCAGCGAGTTAGTCAACAGATAAGATTGTTCATTTTACGATTAAAATCTCTCAATTTCGTCGGTCGTGGTTAAATAATTCTTATTTCTTTTTCACGATTTTCTAAATGAAAAAATCTAGAATATTTTATATACCCTAAAAAATAAAAACAGTATTAAAAATATAATAAAACAGTATACAATACTTTTTTTTACTAACTTATATATCGCGAATATTATATTATTGATATTAATTATAACTTATAATATTAATTATAAATATTACTAATTATAATTAATATTAATAATATTATATAAAATACAAATTATATTATAATGCAAATTATATCGAATAACACAATCGCGTAAAATATTCCGAATTATCTTGCAGAGGTAGATGAAGACTTGATTGAAGAAGAAGAACCCGCCTTGCCAAAGGATCTCAAGCACATACCATATCGGTATGTCCGGTTACCCAAAAGGAATCGCTGTCTCGGGCGTCAGAATTTTATCAAATGGCAGCCGCCAGACGTACCTTAAGATACTTTAGCGCGGATCCCGTTCCGAAGGAAATTATCCACGAAATTATAAGGGCCGCAGGTATATCTAAATATTTAAATATCTAAATATTTACATATAAAATTAAATACACTTCTACATAATAAAATTTATGTGTGTCAATTGATTTCTTAGCAGACATGATAAGGGCCTGAACTAAGGTCGAAACGTTGTCTGAATTTTGAATAAATAACTAAAGAATAACATTGCCAGTTGTGGTCGGTTTATTAACACATTTTATATTTTTATTTATATAATTATATATAAAAAGCCCTTTTATCTCATTATATATGGACACATTTCATATATAATTTTGCGATTATACATATAATTTAATATATTTCTATATAATTTCAAATTGTCATGTATAAAAAATTTTGTTCACGAATAAGATAAAAAGAAATAAAATTGACAAATTCCACCTGTTTTCAAGTTACACATCCGTGCTTTTTAAAACCTATTATAGGTACTGCTCCCAGCGGGGCGCACACAGAACCGTGGAGTTTCGTCGTGATATCCAATCGGACCGTGAAATCCAAAATCAGAAGTATCGTGGAGCAGGAGGAGGAGATCAATTATAAGAAGAGGATGGGCGTGAAATGGACCACCGACTTGTCTCCGTTGAGGACCAACTGGATAAAGGAGTATCTCACCGTTGCCCCGTATCTGATACTCGTGTTCAAGCAAACCTACGGTATTCTGCCGAATGGAAAGAGGAAGGTCCATTATTATCACGAGATGAGCGTTTCTATCGCGTGCGGGATCCTCATTACTGCCATACAGGTATAATTTTCCTTTGTGAGAAATCGGGGTGAAATTTCTTTTGTCCGAAGGAAAGGAGCCTTCTTTTTTTTTACAAGAATTTTTCGAAAAATTATGTTTTTAATCTGTAACAATTACGAAAAATATATATTAACATAAAATATCAAAAAACATTCAAACACATCAATTCATCAAGAAATTTAATTAAAAGTTAAGTTTGAGATAGAAATTATCTCGAGAAAAAAATTATCACAAACTTGACGATTTCTTGTAAATACTTCATTGAATTGAATTATATAATTGAATATAAATTTACTTAAATTTAATTATATTTATATTTTCAATTATATAATTTCATAAAATAATTTTTACTTTACAAAATAATCGAATCAAGTGTATATAAATAAAATATAAATATAATTGAATTAATTGAACATTTTTTTCTAAATGTAGTACGCCGGTTTGGTGACCCTTACGTCGACCCCGTTGAACTGTGGACCGGCTATACGCAGTTTTCTTCAACGTCCACCGAACGAAAAGCTCGTATTACTTCTGCCAGTCGGTTATCCAGCTAAAGATGCCACCGTACCTGATTTGCAACGAAAACCTCTATCCGAAATTTTAATCGAGATCGATTAAACGGAGACAGATTCGTGAGACGCTGCTTTAATATTTCATACTGGATATAATCGGAGATAATATATATTTCATCTCCATATATATACATATATATGTATACTTCGTTTACATGGATCGAAAGGAATATTTGAAATAAGTCAAACATCCATTTATGTTAGCACTATTTTTATGAAAAAATGTTATATTTTTCGGATTACTAACTTTTGTTTTATATCTTACATAGCAATTATTTACTACACTAGTAAAATGTAGTATGTATATTCCTTATAAAACATCATTGCCAATATTACAAAGTAATCGTAACGTCCAAACAAAGAGCTAATCCCTGAAATGTAGCACCTGTTCGAGTCATGTCGTTTGTGTTAATCTCTCCCTCTCTTGTAATTGAAAATGTGTACAATGGCACGTATAATAAGACTGCTCTAAACTTAATAATCCAGTTTGTATAAACTAACGTTTTTATTCCAATTTGTATACATAATATTAAAAATAAGCGATACCAATATATAAATTTGATCGAGTTTAATCGAGGAGAGAAAAACTCATGTAATAATGAGAATTGGCAAAAAAATTGGTTTAAGAATGAGATTATATATATATATATATGTATATGACATTAGTTGTACAATTAGGCGGTCGTAAAAATTGTCAAATTACGAAACGAAGTTTGATATCAACGAATACCAAATATCACCACAGTTTCTTAAAATTAAGTACATTTAATATATAAAATATAAAAATACTGGGCTAAATGTGACGAAGAACATGTAGAATTATAATCTTTCTGCGAGTGTGCTGCAAAGTCTGCGTATGACAGCTATGTCGCTATTATTAATATAGTTATCTCGTTAAGTGTAAAAGCTTTAGAGTATCATGATACATACAGAGAAACAGAGATAATATTCTATTTTCGTTTATCACTATTCATGGAACAAATACTATTAATATCATGATTTCCTAGAATAAATTTTTTCATTTACCTTTATCATTTCCTTCTCTCTTTCTTTTTCCTTTCCTATGAAAGTTGATTCGTTAGTCAAGTCGATAGCGCGAGGAGCTAAGAGTTAGTGTGAAGACTCGAGATCGCCAAATTTATCGTTAAATTTAAGCAATTGTAAAAGTTCTGAATGCAAAATCAAATACTTTTCAATATATATCATTGACTAAGAGTAGAATAGTCTATACAGAACTAGGAGAGTATTGTCCTATTTAACAATCTTCGACTAAACCTCTTATAGTTTGTTTATTAGTAATATATATAAATCTCCATATACACATATACATACATATATACACATATACATACATATATGTACATATATATATATATATATATGTGTGTGTGTGTACGTATGTGTCAGTTCATAAAATGAGCAAAAAATACACTTTGTTCGGTACACGAATGTAAAATCTAAGATCATCAGTAAATCGAACTCCGTCTTCGCCTTTAAAATTAATAATCTCTCTGTTCGTTCTCCTTACAGGACTCTGTTGACAGTCGATCAAATTATATATGAGTTGTATCTTTATACACTTATATATATATTCTAAAAACTATCTCGATTAAATTATATATAAATATGTGTCTCCTTACATCTTTATCTCGTCGAGATCACCAAGTGCCTGAGATAATGACAGATTACGCTAAATGTATTCTTCTCTAATTATTATCGTCATTATATTATTATTATCATCAACATAATGTAACAAGAAGCTGATAATAATATGTCAATATAAATTTTGTAATAAATAATGATCAATGAACTTTCCTTTTTTTTTCTTCTTTCCCCTCCAAAAGTTTGGGGTGTCTGTATTATATAATACTATCTGTTCTTTTTCACTGAACTGGCTGCACTAGTTCAGAGTTTATCTCTTTCCCTCCAATGTGGAGTAAAAAAGATAAACTCTGAACTAGTGCTGCCAGTTCAGTCGAAAAGAAGAGATCTTAGGTGTACGAGTGAGCTCTCGCGAATACTCTCCTAATTCTCCTAATAAGACGACCAAGACGTTGTATGCCACAGCGATAGCAAGGATAGCTCCGTGACTTATATATATATATGTATATATCTATATACTATCCCAGAGAGTGAACTTAATCACGGCGATGAAATTCGGCTAAGCACAAGCGGCACGACCAGGAGCCCTCCGGAGGTGACGCAAGAGGAGGAGCCAGACAATACATGTGGTATCCACGATCACAGTCGTCACAGAACAGCAACTGATCCTATTTCAGTCCGCCAAACCGTTAATTATGACAAGTAATCCATATAAAACTCGCGGAACAAAAAACCGCGCGCAAGACCAATATTTTACATTCATTTTGAGATTGAATCAAGACTCCTGGCTATGTCAGATTGTGACGTCAGAGGCGGGAAAGCGTACGCTGGAAATTCTTAGATGCCATTTTTAAATGAAGAGATATTTCGATGGAACATATTACGTTTACATCACTTTTAAAATACCTCGAAAACTATTCTTAATCATTTTACAGCTGTTGATTGATTATATATAGGAAAAAGGATCGTTTTGACAGTAGTTTAAGAGTTTAAAGCTATCTGAAGTGCTGTCTTATCAAAATATCTTTTTATTTCGAAAATGCAATTTTTAGCATATATTTTCTCGCCTCTGACATTACAATTCCAACATTATCGGTCAGGAGCCAGAAGCCCTAAATTTCATTATTTTTCTTACAAGTAAAATTTGACGACCCTGTAATTTTTTTTCCTTTTTTTCATTAATATCGCAATTTTTCTATTCGTTCGCGGGAGAAATTTCTTTTTAATTTTGATGAGTACCGAGATTTTGCGGAAGTAGATACTTACATCGTTGTCAGAGGTGCCGCAAATGGAGCAACATTTGCATTCGATACATTGCCACCTGTACTTGCGAACAGAAACGATCATATTTGCAGTGAATTGCAAACACGTTGGATGCCCTACAACAAGAACGTCAAAAGAACTCGGTCATGGAACACGCATTTTTTTCGGGACGATGGAACGAGGATGTGAAAATCTGTTGTCGGGATGCGAGTAGAAAGGTGCCAGGACAGTTATCTTGTGCCGAAGAACAGTGAACTCCAAGCTATATATATTTGTCTTTTTTTTCCACAAATTATTTTATAATTTTTTCATGCTATTTTTTCGATCAATCGAATCTTTTTTTATTTTTGGCTCTGTTTGCACAAAAATTCTGATTTCCACACACAAGTACGATTTTCTAATTAAGGATGTCTTTCACCTTTCCTCAGCACTAAAAACGTCCGGAATAATGATACGTCCTCGTGTTTCCGCACAGAATATTTTATTTCGTGATATCTGTAATTTTTTTTTGATGTTGCATTTTGAACATATTGTTATTATTTGGAATAATAGGTGGTAAGTAATAGCAGGGCGTACCTTGGAATAGTTCACGTTCTTTCTTGCGCAGCACAATATAAACGTCGCAGATGCACACTCTCCCTCGCTCCTATTCTTTTGCTCTCTCTCTCACTCTTTCTTTCTTTCTCCTTACATTCTCTCTCTCTCTCTCTTCGTCACACACACACATACACGCAACTCATATAACGTATATCACATCCTTTTTATATATATCATATATATATAGAGCCATATATATATTTATATATAACTAGCGTGACTTAAATACTATATTTATAAGCCTCATTAAGGGTATTGCTTAATTAAAACTGCCTAATAACAAGTCTTCAATTTTATATATATAACAAGGAGGAACTATATATCTGCATGCTTCCATTGTGTTTTTATACCATGTGAGTTTTTCTTACGACAATCTAAGGACAATATAATATCAATTTATACAGAAAACTAAAAACGTAAATATATATATATATATATATATATATATATATATAGTACCTTCTCTATTTTTTGCCATATTTAGCTATACCATTATTAAATGATAGAATAGTCTACATTGTATCTCATATGTTATATGTAAAGAAGCAGTAACATACCTTTGTCAATATAGCCTTCTATATACTCGAGTTAATAATGTATGTATATTAGAAAATATTTTGTGGAAAAAAAATCACGAAGTTCTATGATCAAAGAAGACCTTTGCTCATCAATTGCGTATGAATTATTCCAAATATTTCGGAAATTCAATGTATAAAAAACAGCGTATACGCACAGATCTGTATATCGTGCAAAAAGTAAAGTTATAACTTATATGTAGTGTATATAAGTGTAAAATGAACTGCATATATATATATATATATATATATATATATATATATATATATATAGCATGCATGTGTGTGTATAAAATTGCGATATATATATATATTTTTCTATAGTCAGTAAAATATATAAAACAATTCGAGTTTGATCGTAAAGCAGATTAAAAAGGAAGACGCCGCGTAAAAATGACGACGCTTCTTTTTGTGTGCCTGGAAAAACTCATAAGGTATTACATTAATTTCATATATGGGATAGTCTGCGATCATTCCTAATCAAATGATATCTGTAACGAGTATCAAAGCCCTTGTACAAAACTAAGCTACGTCAGATTTCAACAAGACGATTTGTTTTTTTAAAGATATCTAACTAAAATACATTCAATGATTTAAAAAAATTCATTACACTCCGTAACTATAGGTTTTTTATCTCATACTCCTGTTTTCTTGCTCATTAAATACGTGTGTAATAAATATATATTTCGTTATTATAAATGACAATAATAGCAAAGGGGGAGGGAAACGATTATACTCTATATTAAATCGGAGAAGCTAATGCCCACAATTAAAGGTAATCAAAAACGGCAGATATACAATTGGAATGTGAGAGACGAGTTACAGAGAAGAAAACGCGCGCGATTTTTACAGAAAAAAAATCGATAGATACATTTTTATTTTACACATGTAAAATAAAAATTCTCTAAAAAATTAGAGCTCTCTCTACCTTAAAGTATCATTTTCCACGCGAAAAGAACACATAAAGATTATTATATGTGTATATAATAACCATATTTAATAAACTTACTAAATAAAGGCAAAGACGTAAAACGAAGGTCTCCAAAAACTTGTAAAAATTGCCTAAGGAAGAACCAAGTTGTTACTCAAAATACAGAGCTTTACTCTGTTCAACGAAACATTATTTTTCTTTAGTAACGCAAAATGCGGTATATCTTATATATCGCGTGTATAATAAACGTCTCTCTCATTTTTGAAGAAAATACTTCACACTGATGCAAATGATATACCCTTGTCGCGATTATAAACATATATAAACGATATTGAACACATAACATGTTGTCAAACGAATACTATTAATCAAATTATATATCCTGATAGATAAAATATGATTTCTCGATGATCGTGTCAATCTCATCCAGTCAATCTTTCGTATCGAAATTCTCTCAAAATCACGAAATAGATTTATAATAGGAGATCCTTAGAATTGCACACTTTCCTCTTTCATTATCCTCTTTCCATCTGTGCTGCGCTCCCTAGCTCTCACATCTCATCTAAACCTCGTGATATATATATGTATATACTCAACAAACGCAAGGCTTACAAAAGTATTTACAAACGAATTGATTGAAAAACATGTAGAGAGAAATATGACGCGATCAACATGTCGTTATCTTACAATAAATATTGTTTACCTTCGTTAAAACGATTCTTATGATTGTGCTGGATATATAAAGTGTATATACATACATACATATTTTATATATATATATATATACACATATGTATGTATGTATATATATATTGCATCTCTCGCGTGTATCTAAAAATCTTAAACTTGCCGGTGCGTTTTTTTCACGCCGTGTATACCTATTTTTTCATTTTTTTTTAAATTTTTGATTTCCACGCAACAACGTAAATATCAGGATACACTGTCAAACAGAAGACAAAACATCTTCCTCAATACGTGCTCTAGTGGTACTGTGCAACAGGAATTTTAATAAAATCTGCGTGATAAAATTTTCAAAAAAAAAAAAAAAAAATTATATATATATATCTATATCCAATCACACACACGTACACACGATAAAATTTAACTTCTCTCATTGCGACGAAGTTATGAATTTTTTAGACTGCTCGTGCTCTTTTTCACCCCGTAATATTAAACGCGCTCGAAACCTCCGATTTTGTTCTCTTCTTCTTTTTTTATCTCCTTACAACTAATCACTGAAAATACTATTATTAATCACAGCAAATT